AAACTATTATAAATAAATTATGAAAAAAAAAAAACTTATACTGTATGACATTTTAAATGTTTAATTTATTTAATAAAGAAGACAATTAAAATGTCTTCTTTATTAAACAAATTGAACATTTGAAATGTTTCATTTATTTAATAAAGATTATTAAATAAATCAAACATTTGAAATGCCAATAGAGTAATAAAAATAAAATAATAAATTTAAGATCTTACACAAAGTTTTAGGCATATTGTTTAAATGTTAACAAATATTTTATTATTTTAAAAAAAAAACATCAAGTCACGAGAATCTCTTGAAGTTTATTTCTTATAAGAAAGCTTTTATGATTATTAGAAGATTAATAAATATAGCTTCTGCTTTTTATAACTAAAAAAAAAAAGTGAAAACAAAACCTTTTTTTTTCTGTCAAACGATACCATTTTTAAAAATGTTTCTAATGTATATACTAATCCGCAATTACATTGGCCGAATATTGGCTACGGTATAAGATTTTTATTGCAAAATATTAAGCCTAAACTACATTGGCCAAATATTGGCCTAACGTAGTACGATAATTGCAAAAAACCGATTTGTAGTACGCCGAATAAAAAACATTGGCTAAATGTTGGCCCAATATTGTACGATATTTGCAAAAAACCAACTTGCAAAATTAAAAATAATAAGCCGAAAAAAAACATTGGCTAAATGTTGGCCCAACGGAATAAACTTGCCAATGTTAAAACTAACATTGGACCAATGTAAGCTTGCTGTCTGGGTAATTACCTGAGCACGTTATTAACATAAGTATCTCAATCATGAAACATACTCAACAATGTTTTTCTTCCAGTGTTTTGATGTTTTTGAAAATATTATCTTTTTTAAAAACCTTTTGTTCGTTTAAGTGTATAATATCGTTACATATGTTTTCATAAACACTCTATATAACTTCAAAAGTTTTTGTATTTTAAAATAGTCGAAAAAAAATTAAAAAAAAGTTCTTAATGGTAGGACTCGAACCAGGACTTACTTGTTCAGATGCTCAGCGCGATATCCACTCGGCTACGCTGGCACGTTGTTAAACGCAAACTTCTAAAGTTAACAGTGACGTTTTTTTTCAGAAAGATATGCTGTACATTAAAGTTAAGGAGAGCTTGACGCAATGCAATTTTGAAGTGAAAATCAAACTGTAAAACTTGATAAACGTTTCAGTATGTTTTAACATTACTTGATTTAAAGTTTACACACGTAAGACATTTGCATACATGTTCGTTCACGTTTTCTCAAAAAACAAAGTGCTGCAACTTTTGGCATTATTATATAAAAGATACTTCAATAATAATAAAATGATGTTAATATTATTAGTTTCATTTTATTAGTATTGAATTTTACAGGTGTTTATTTCATATTACTACTTATTACTGTTTGTAAATAACCTTGATGTGTTAACTTTATTCAAAATCTATTTTATTTGATTTATTTTAACGACAGAAAATTTGAAAGTTTATGAAAAACAAAAAGGCAAAAGCAATATTATACATTTATATATATATATTTATATATATATATATATATATATATATATATATATATATATATATATATATATATATATATATATATATATATATATATATATATAAATATATATATATATATATATATATATATATATATATATATATATATATATATATATATATATATATATATATATATATATATATATATATATATATATATATATATATATATATATATATATATATATATATATATATATATATATATATATATATATTTATATATATCCCAGACAGCAACCTTACACTGGCCCAATGTAAGTTTTAACATTGGCAAGTTTTTTCCGTTGGGCCAACATTTAGCCAATGTTTTTTTTCGGCGTATTATTTTCAATTTTGCAAGTCGGTTTTTTGCAAATATCGTACAATATTGGGCCAACATTTAGCCAATGTTTTTTTTTTCGGCGTAATATTGTAACTCTACAAATCGGTTTTTTGCAATTATCGTAGTACGTTGGGCCAATATTTGGCCAATGTAGTTTAGGCTTTATATTTTGCATATACCGTAGCCAATAATCGGCCAATGTAGTTGCGGATCAGTATATACTTTAGAAACATTTTTTAAAATGGTATCGTTTGACAGAATAAAAAAAGGTTTTGTTTTCATTTTTTTTTTTTTTTTAATTATAAAAAGAGGATGCTTTTTTTATTAATCTTCTAAGAATCTTAAAAGCATCCTTATAAAAAATAAACTTCAAGAGATTCTCGTGACTTGATATTTTTTTTTTAAATAATGAAATATTTGTTAACATTTAAATAATATGCTTAAAACATTTTTTACTACAATCTAAATTATTAATGTAATAATGAAGGCATAAATTAATTTATTTTTGTGTTAGATTTTAAATTTATTATTTTATTTTTATTACTCTATTGGCATTTCAAATGTTTGATTTATTTAATAATCTTTATTAAATAAATGAAACATTTCGAATGTTCGATTTTTTTAATAAAGAAGACATTTAAAATGTCTTCTTTATTAAATAAATCAAATATTTAAAATGTCATACAGTATAAGTTGCTTTTTTTCATAATTTATTTATAATAGTTTAGATTATATAGCTATTATAAAGGTATATTAATAAAGGTATCAATAATATATATGTGGCCTTGTCAATGCCATTGCCAATGTCAACATCTATTCCATTGAATTTGTTAAAGCTGATATTTTACATTTTAAATATGTCTCTTTTGTTTGATATTTTTCTGTGTTTGATTATGAAACCCTATCTACTAACATATTAAAACAGTGTACAAAAAGTAGTGTTACTATAACTTATAGTCTACGTATGTAGAGCTTTCCAATATTCCATGTTTCTGAGGTTTAATTATTTTTTAATTTAAAAATTTTGGCTATTTTTCATATTTAGTTTGCGTACAGCAATCAACAATTTTAGGCTTATACATTAACTTTAGTTTTAACTTAATTATTAATAATTTATAGATTTTTAAAGCAATACAAGATTAAATTTAGCAGAAGGTTAAATTTTTGCTCTGGAGACCAAAAAGGAAGACAGCAAAAATGACCAGTCAAAATAAAGATTAAAAAGACAAAAAACTGTATATATCTTGGTGAAGATGATTTATCTTCATTTTGTTATAATAAAACAAAAAATGTTATTAAACTTTGGGATTTACCTGTAACACTAAACTCTTTACAGAAGTTCAATGTTTGCTCTGAAAAGTTGAATGAACAAAATTCATTAAATGGTAAGTTTTTATATAAAAGTCTTTATGTCTGATGATTAAAAATCTTTATTCAAAGCTTTAGCTTTTACAACTTTAAAATTTTTTTCATATATTACGGTCAAAAAGTCATAGTGTTAATTAACATTTTATTGTGTAAAAATCAACATATCAAAGCTTGGTCGGGAAGCCAGAGCGATTCCTCTCTAATACTGACCACGGAAAAACTGGCTAGGTTTTAGAGTCGATTTAACGTAACAGAAAATTTTTGTTGGATTTCAAAGTTGGTGTCACTAACTTTGAAATCTATTTGAATTCAACTGTTGAAAAAAACAACAGAGTATTCATATCAGTTTAAAGTTTTAACAGTTGCTGTTATTTTCATTATTATTCATTATATAAACGTTTATTTAAATTTATATAATAGACGAAGGTAATACAATACTTTTATAGATGATATTATTCTTAAAAACTGTCTTATTAAAATTCAGATTTAAAATATGTTAAAAAAAGTTATTTACAAATATTGGACAACTTTATATTTCAAATAACCACACTTTTTATGAAAGTGAGGTTATTTGAAAAGAAATTTTTTTTAAAAAACGATAAAATTATAAGATAAAATAAAGACTTTTTTTGGATAAAAGAAATAAATTTTAGATAAAAGAAAAATACAGTTTTTTAAAGGAAAAATGTTTTTCATTCTCTTGTAAAACTTTAATTTTGTGACTTGTCAAATTTTCAAAATACAGCACTCAATTAAGCTATTATATATTTTTTGGTGCTACCCATATAATTTTTCTGAAACTTATGTTTTTCTTAGTGTTAGTTCTTAGTCATCCTTAATAATAAGATCCATACTAACATGTATAATAAGCTCCATACTAATCTCCAACTTAACTAATAGCTAAGTTTTAAATATTTTGTCATTGAAAGCATGTACAATCTTAGCGTTTCCATTACAGTAGACAGTAATTTTAAACATTTTGTAAAAACCTTTTTTAAAAATGGCCAGGCAAAGTCATCTGATTTTTCAAAAAAGTTATTGATTTTTATATAAATTGTTGGCTACAAACCCTGTTGGAGAAACATTGTTTTAATATGAATTTTTTTGTTGTACAGTGCAATCTGTATTTTATAAGAAACACAAAACAATTCTCGTTAATGTGTAAGCTTAAACATTAATGAAAATTGTTTTGGGTCAGTGCCAGAAATTAAATGCACACCTGCAAATTTCAAAATTCATAAAAATATTATGAATCCGTTAGCAAGTATATATTTTTATCATTAAAATTTTGACTCTCTTTCTATAATTTTATCTGTTTTATTAGTGATTGTTGTATTTACTTTCATATATTCTAAATATAATATGTAATTAGTTGTATAGTTTCTTAATAATATTATTAACCTTTATGTTCAGAATAAAAGTGTATCCTTGAAAGATATGCTGGTATTATTGGCACAATGGGCAAGCATTGAAGTGCAGCTTGGTGAAATACAAAACACATCAAATTCAGTTTTAAAAGTTTGAGTAACAAAGGTAATTTTTTTTATGATCTGCTTAGGCATTTCGTATGATATATAAGTACAACTTATATACTTTAAAAAAAGTAGTCTTTTAAGATTTCTTGTAAATGACATTTTATATTAATTTAAGTCTAAACAAAAGTTACTTTAACTATTGCCAGGTTGTGCATTTTTGCAGGTCAAGTATTTGGCACAATTTGGAGTTAAAGACAAAAGAGATTG